GATGATGATGATGATGATGATGATCAGGATGATGATGATCAGGATGTTGTTGTTTATGATGATGATGGATGAGGATGATGATGACAATGATGATGATGATGATGATGATGATGATGATGATGATGATGGTGATGGTGATGATGATGATGATGATGATGATGATGATGATGATGATGATGATGATGATGATGATGATGAGGAGGAGGAGGAGGAGGAGGAGGAGGAGGAGGAGGAGGAGGAGGAGTAGAGGAAGGAGGAGGAGGAGGAGGAGGAGGAGGAGGAGGAGTGAGGAGGCAGCAGAGGAGGAGGAAAGGAATGGGAGCAGAAGGAGGAGGGAAGAGGAGTAGGAGGAGGGAGGAGGAGGGAGGAGGAGGGAGGAGGAGGGAGGAGAGGGAGGAGGAGGGAGAGTTGGGGGAGGAGGAGGGAGGAGTAGGGCGGAGAGGGAGGAGGAAGGAGGGAGGAGGAGAGGGAGAAGGAGGGAGGAGGGAGGGAAGGAGAGGGAGGAGGGAGGAGGGAGGCGGGAGGAGGGGGAGGGGGAGGGAGGATGAGGAGGGAGGAGGAGGGAGGAGGAGGAGGAGGGACGGAGAGGAGGAGGCAGGAGGAGGAGGAAGGAGGAGGAGGGGAGGAGGAGGAGGAGGAGATGAGAGAGGAGGAGGAGGAGGAGGAGGAGGGAGGAGGAGGAGAGGAGAGGAGGAGGGAGGAGGAGCAGGAGGAGGAGGAGGAGGAGGAGGAGGGGTCAGAGGATCGAGTTCGATACGTCGTTGTGTCTATTCGCCTTGTTCGGATCTTTGCCGCGGGCAGCGCGCGCCCCGCCCGAGGACTCCGCGGGTGCGCCCGAACGGTGCCCCCGTCGTGGCCCGGCGGTCGGGCGAGCCGCCAGCCTTCCTGTGGGGAAGGTGTCGAGGGCAATGCGAGCATTGCCAGGCGGGGGCAGCCCTTCGAAGAAAAGAAGCAACGGCACAAACATCAACGTTCGACGGTCTGGGCGGATTTCTTGGATCTGCGCTGGACCTCCTTGGCGGCGACTTCACCGCCGCCCCTGGCGAGCTCCACGCGCCAGGGAGGGGCGCCCAGCGCCGATCCAAGAAATCCGCCTGGACCGTCGAACTTTTGTGTTTTGGTAGTGTTCCGTCCCTCTAGCCTTGGTGAAATCCCAGCCCCCCTCGCTTTGTGAAAAAACAGTTCACGAGAGACGGTTTTTGCCGTTATCAGCCTCCAGGGGCCCTTACCGGGCCCCAAGACCGTCAGCCATAGTACAGTATCAACCATCGAGTGCCGTGGAAGGGGTCCAGACCTCCGGGGGTCCAAGTCGTGAACAAAATCTCGACGCCAGGGGTCTGGGATGATAGCTGGCCTGACGCGGGCACAATGATTGGATCCTGGCGCCGCTTTGCGCTGGGGCGGGAATAGGGGAACAATAATAACATAAACATGAAAACTCGGAGGTCCGCGCGGATTTCTCGGATCCGCGCTGGACCCCCCTGGCGGCGCCTCCAGCGCCGCCCCCGTCGCGCTCCGCGCGCCAGGGAGCGGGGTCCAACGCCGATCCGAGAAATCCGCGCGGACCTCCGAGCTTTTATGTCTATATGTTATTATTCGTTCCCCTAGGGAAGGGGCAACGTCTGACCCACACGATGTTGCGCATGCTGGGGTACAGTGTGCCCAGGCGGGGCTCGTCTCACCATAGCGCGGTTCGGGAGCATGCTCGTCCTGGAGCGCGTGCTGACCAGGGTGCTGGGGCGGATCCAGTCCTGGCGACAAGGACCCCCCCCCCAGGAGGCTCCTCCAAGTGCCCTCCCTCCTCCCTCCTCCTCGGGAAAGAGGACCTCTGACTTCGTACGCTTTCTTCAAAGCGCAGTGATCCACGGTCCACAGCCCCCGTACGTGATTCTGAGCAATTCCTCAAACAGGACCTTACGCCGTGGGGCTGCTTATCATTACAGTGGGAGCCCATGCCGAGACACACCCTCTGCTCGCCTCCAGGGTGCCCTGGGTTTCTCGGACTTCGATGGTCTTGCCCTGGCAGGCGTGGCGCTCCAACCAAACATCAATGGACGTCCTGGAGTCTCAGGGTTGGGTCTCTTGTGGAAGGCTTCTTGTGGTCGAGCTCCCACCGTATTTCCAGCATCATATAACCGATAACCTCCTCCCTTTCCTGACCCTCCTCGAGCTCCTGCTGTAGGCCCCTGGGCCCGAAAAAACAGGCACTTGGCGGGCGCGGGAGGCCTGGGAGTGGCCAGGCATCTTGTTGCAGGAGTTGGTGCGGCCCCAGAGTTGGTGGCCCAGGGCCCTCCTCCCTCCTCCTCCCTCCTCCCTCCTCCTCCTCCTCTTCCTCCTCCTCCGCCTCCCTCCTCCCTACGCGCCGCCCGCCCCAGGCCCGAAAGGACGGAGCACGGTGCACCCCAAGCCCCGCGTTGAACAACAATCTCCACCTCCTCCTCCTCCTCGTCCTCCTCCTCCTCCCTCCCTCCCTCCCTCCCTCCCTCCCTCCCTCCCTCCTCCCTCCTCCTCCCTTCCCTCCTCCCTCCTCCTCCTCCCCCTCCCCCCCCTCCTCCCGCCTCCCGCCTCCTCCTCCTCCTCCTCCTCCTCCTCCTCCCCCTGCCAGCTGCAGTTTATGGGCATCAGATAATGGGAACCCCTCCATCTTCTCTGTTGGCCTTACGACGTGATGCGGCTGCGAGTGCTGCGGGCACCAAACGTGGCAGGTGCTTGAATACTGTGTTGCACGTTGTCTTTGGAGTTTCTGACCCTGGCATTGATTTGAGGAGGCAGATTAGCACGGAGTGGATTGCGTTGTGGCTGGCGCAGCCGTCCTTACACCCTCGTATTCGCAAGATGTGGCCGAGGACGCTTGCGAGGCTACGTGGTGGTGTGAGCGAGCGTCTGGTTGTGAAGTGGAAGGACGTGCGCAGCCCCATCGCTGCGATACAACCCATACAGCGATACTGCGATGGGGTCCACAGAGTCCAGATGTATGGTCACGGCCGATGGCTGACGGCAGTGTTGACGATTGGCTCTTCCCCGCGTTTGGCGACGAGCAGTTTGCGACGGCAGTGCCAGCTCACTTCGAGGATATGTTCGGCGCTTTCATGGATGAGGCCTCACGGCACGTCGCTGGTGAGGACCTGAAGGATGGCGCTGATATGACGACGGTTGGCATCGAGCTGAACCGCATGGCCGCCAAGGCCAAGTTCGACGATTGGGCTGCCGACCTTGCCGCCGTCTCGGGGGGGCAGTGGACGCGTGAGAGGCAGATTGCCGCAGGCTATGACTGCCCGCCGCTGTACCCCAGGTTTAGGGCCCCGAGACTTTAGCGCACAGGATTTGGTTGTGCCCCGCGAATTGCGGGCATGTTGTTTTTTTCCCAAACTGAGCGTGTGATTCTCCAGGCACTCGCGGGCCTCGAGACCCAGCCAGCGTTGTGGCTCAGGGGAGTGCCCTCGAAGGACCTCACGGTGCCCACGTTTGTTGAGTCTGCTGAAACGGCCCAGGAGGTCCTTATTGGGGACGGGTGCTTTTTTGATTTCTGCTCGGAGCCTGGAGGCCCAGTGGTGTTCATCTTCGGAGATCGTTCTGGAGGCGAATGTAGCGCCGACCCCAGGCGTAGGCGATGCGGCTCGGCGGTTGCTTTGATGTGTCAGGATCCGTCGTCGCCACACTCCTGGGTGCCTCAATGCGGTGTAGGTCAGATTTTGGCGGGCAGACGGCAGACGGTTCCGAGAGCCGAGATTCAAGCCTTCTGCCTTGCTCTAGAACATTCGCACGGTCAGATTTGCGATGCTACTGATTGCAAGAGCTTGATTTCTGATTGTCACGGTGGCCGTGCTGTTTCTCCTCGGGGGCCGAACGGTGACCTTTGGTTCCGTGTCGTTCGTGCGTTGCGAAGCCGCGGCCGTAGGGATGTTTCGCTCTTGTCGATCCCGTCCCACACGGAGGACAAGTTGCAGTCGGTAGCCTCTCAGCTTGATCTCTGTATGTGTCAGGGCAGTGCCGACGTCTATGCGGGGGTTGCTGCCCAGTGGGCGTGTGAGTGGTGTGTCGTTTCTCCCCCCTCGGACGGACGTGTGGGACATGATTGCGGCACTGGTGAGAAAGCGGGCCAAACGGGCACTCTTGTTGGCGCTCGAGGTTGAGTCTTGGGAAAGGCTTAGAGCTCCGCCAGCGCCCAAGGTCCGCAAGCCCTCAGAACTCGCCCAGGCGATCCGAGATAGCGTGCATAAGTTTCGCCCGTTCGCTGGTCGCTGGAGGTGCGACTGTTGTAAGGTTATCGTCCCGAGAAGCGAAGTGATCGCTGTCGCCTCGACCCAGTGCCGAATCCCGACGCTGTCGCCGCAGACGGGTCCTTTTGAGGTGCTGGGTCTGATGCCAGAGCTCGGAGAAGTTTTCGAGGCGATCTCGGGAGAGGCGTGGTGTGGCGACGTGAAGCTTCACCCCAGCCACCGCCTCGCCATAATGAGAACCTACGGGTTGTTTTTCTGCCAGAGATGTGGTTTCACTGCCACGGCTGACGGTCGATGGCTTCAGAATGCGTGTGCCCCCCTTGCGAAAAAGAGGGGGGATAACCTCAAGCGAATTGAACGGGGCCTTGCGTGACGCGGCTGCGCTGGATTGCTGCGAGAGCCCTCCCGCCACCCCCTCGGGAAAGAACCGAGGGTTGGAGTGGTGCCCCTTTGAAGGAGGCTCAGTGATTGATGAGTGTCTAGCTTGCTCCTCCAGCCGCCCCTCTGAAGAGCTCGCCGACTTGATGCAGGTGCCCGAGGATGGTGCCCGCGCCCCGCCCGCGGACGAGGATGCGGCTGCTGCCTTCGCCGCTGCCGCTGCCAGAGCAGGTAATGCTGTTTCGCTTGAGGGTGTCGCTGCTCGACTCAGGGCCAGGGTCAGGGGCATACAGGGCTCGCTGGTGCTCGAATTGTGCAGGGGTCGAGTGGCGACGGCGATGATAGCGGTGACAGTGATTGAAGCCACGTGGATGGCATCGCAGCATGATCCAGCATGATCCTCCTCCTCCTCCTCCTCCTCCTCCTCGTCCTCCTCCTCCTCCCTCCCCCTCCCCCTCCTCCTCCTCCTCCTCCTCCTCCTCCTTTCTCCTCCTCCTCCTCCTCCTCCTCCTTCTCCTCCTCTGGGGGCAGGCGTTCTCAGAAGGCGGCGGGGCTTCTCAGAAGCCTTCAGGCCTTCTGAGGAGCCGTCTGTCTCTGTCTTCGAGGCAGGCCTGCGCGGCTTCACAGAAGGCCAGAGGCCTCCCGGGCCTTCTGAGAAGGCCCGCCCCCTCCGCGTGCCCCCCTGGGTTCGCCACCGACAGAGGGTAGCCGGGGGTGGCCTCAGCGGGCCCGCAGGGTCTATGCAGGGGCTATCGGCGGGGGTGTGAGCGCGAGTGTGGGCCAGAGAGCCGTCCTGCTCAAGGACAGTGTCCCTGGCCCAATGTGCCCCCATATCCCAGTCTACCCTAGGCGTCTTCCGTCTTCAACGATCGAGTATTTCTTTCCTCTTCCCTCCTCTCTGCGAAGCCTCAAGAAAGCCTCGAACACATCGACAGGTTCCTGGCCTAAAGGGCTCTCGAAATATGTGCGACTTAAACGCCCTCTGGCCCCCTGCCTGCAGCCCCTAACCCAGACGGAGGGGAAAAGGAGCGTGCGATCGTCGCTCCCGGCCGCCTTCGCGCTGCCAGGGCGGCGGGCGCGTGTCAGGCCCAGACGCTGGAAGACGGCCTCCAACGGCTTCGGTCGATCCCTCCTCTTGTGGGGGCCGGCCGGGGCCCAAACAGCTGGCTCGCAGACGCATTGCATTACAGCGTCTTCAGATGAAAACTGCGTGACGATAGTGTCGTGCAATTACTTCGCCAGTTCATTCCTCGGTCTGCCCGCAGCTGTGGCGCATGCGTCGGTGGCTGGTGGCACGCTGAGATGCCGTAGAAATTCAGAGTTGTTTGCCCGAGTTATCTTCCCAA